TAACCTTGATTATATCCCTCCTGAATTTAGAGACCATCTAAAGAATAGATTTGATGCATTGAACACCAGCAACCAAAAACCAGAGGAGTTGTGGGATGACATCAAGAGCATCATCCATGAAGAAAGCAAGTGGTCATTAAAAAGACAGGAAAGGAAGAAAATATCAAAATGGATGTCAGAAGAGATTTTGAAACTTGCCCTTGAATGGAGAGTAGCTACAGCAAATGGAAGAAATGACAAGATAAATGGAAGAAATGACAAGATAAAAAAGCTGAACAGAAAATTTCAAAGAGCAGCTTGAGAAGACAAAGTTACTATAATGAAAGGTGTGGAGAACTGGAGTTAGAAAACCAAAAGGAAAGAACATGCTCAGCATTTCTCGAGCTGAAAGAACTGAGGAAAAAATTTAAGCCTCGAGTTGGAATATTGAAAGATTCTATGGGTGATATAGAAGGAGATCTGGTAGCGTAGTGCCTAAAGCATTTGACTGCTAACCAGAAGGCTGATGGTTCAAACCCACCAGCCACTCCTCGGAAGAAAGATTGGGCAATCTGCTTCTGTAGTGATAGTGATAATGCCTTGGAAACCCAAGGAGAGGTCTCTATGAGTCAGATCTGACTCAACAGCAGTGAGTTTGATTTGGTTTCGTATGGGCAGTATATTGAGTGATGGAGGAAAGATCAAATGAAGATGGAAGGAATACACAGTCACTGTACCAAAAAGAATTGGTCAGTGTTCATCCATTTCAGGAGGTGGCATGTCATCAAGAACCAATGGTGTTGAAAGATGAAGTTGAAGCTGCACTGAAGGAATTGGTGAAGAACAAGGCTCCAGGAGTTGACAGACTACCCATTGATATGTTTCAACAAACAGATGCTGCACTGGAGGCACTCACTAAGCTATGCCAAGAGGTTTGGAAGACAGTTACCTGGCCAACTGACTGGAAGAGATCCATATTTTTTACCCCTTCTAAAGAAAGGTTATCCTACAGAATGTGAAAATTATCAAACAATACCATTAGTATCACACAAAGTAAAATCTTACTGAAAATCATTAAAAAATGGTCACAGCAGTGTATTGACAGAGAACTTCCAGAAATGCAAGCTGGATTCAGACAAGGATGTGGATCAGGGAATATCATAGTTGATGTCAGATAGACCTTGGCTGAAATCAAAGAATGCCAGAAAGATGATTACTTGTGTTTTATTGACTGCAAAGGCATTTGATTGTGTGGATCATAACAAATTGTGGATAACCTTGAGAAGAATGGGAATCCCAGAAGACTTAATAATTGTGCTCGTGAGGAACATGTACATAGAACAGGAGGCTGTTGTTCAAACAGAACAAGGGGATACTTCATGGTTTGAAATCAGGAAGGAAGTGTGTCAGGGTTGTATCCTTTCACCATACATATTCAATCTATATGCTAAGCAAATAATCTGAGAAGCTGGACTATATGAAGAACAACATGGCATGAGGATTGGAGGAGGACTCATTAGCAACCTGCAAAACGCAGATGACACAACTTTGCTTACTGAAAGTGAGAATGACTTGAAGCACTTACTCATGAAGATTGAAGACTACAGTCTGCTATAAGAATTACACCTCCATATAAAGAAAACAGAAATCCTCACAACTGGACCTATAAACAGCATCACAATAAAGGGAGAAAAGATTGAAGTTTTCAAAGACTTCATATCACTTGGTTCTACAATCAACACTGATGGAAGCAGCAGTCAAGACATCAGAAAACGTATTGCATTGGACACATCTGCAAAAGACCCCTTTCAAGTGCTGAAGAGCAAAGATGTCACCTTGAAGACTAAAGTGCGCCTAACCCAAAGCATGGTATTTTCAATCACCTCTTACGCCTGTGAGAGCTGGTCAATGAATAAGGAAGACTGAAGAAGACTCGATGCTTTTGAGTTGTGATGTTGGTGGAGAATGCTGAAAGTAACAAATCTGTCCTGGCAGAAGTGCAGCCGGAATGCTCCTTGGAAGCAAGAATGGACAGACTTCGTCTCACCTACTTTGGCCATGTTGTCAGAAGGAACCATTCTCTGGAGAAAGGATATCATGCTTGGTAAAGTGGAGGGTCAACGAAAAAGGAGAAGGCCCTAAACAAGATGGATTGACACAGTGGCTGCAGTGATGGGCTCAGGTATAGCAGGGATCATGAGACTGGCACAGGACCTGGCAGTGTTCTGTTCTGTTGTACTTTAAGTTGCTGTGAATTGGAGATGACTCAACGGCACCTCACAACAACAGACATATGCACCCTTGAAGCAAAAAGAAACAGCTGCTGTGTTTCTTCTGAGTCTCCTCAGACCAAAATGTGCCTGTGGAAGTATCTCTTCAGCTGCCTTCTACATGATGTAACTTCTGCCTTTATCCCTATCCTAGTTACCTGTAGGACAAGTAGTTTGTTAGTGGTATAGTTTCCCTTTGATTTGCAAGGCTCACAGATTCACAGAGAGACAGAAATACAGTTACAGAGCATAGGGTTAAGAATGATAATAAAACATGCTTTCAGATACCCAAACCATGGTTCTGCTTCAGAGCCCTGGCACGTGCTATTCCCTTGGACTAGAATACCCTTCCTCTAGAACCTACACAGCCCCTGCTTCCTTCAAGTGTCACTTGTCAGTGAAATCTTTCCTGAATACCTTGCATGAAATAATGTCTCTTCCCCCTCCTCACCCTATGCTCCCTGATCCTGTCACTCTGCTTTATTTTTCTTTAGTGACATTTGTCACTCATGGAGTATTACATAAGGAGCTCTGGTGGCATAGTGCCTGAGGCATTTGAATGCTAACCAGAAGGTTGGTGGTTCAAACCCACCAGCTACTCCACAGAAGGAAGATGGGGCAATCTACTTATGTAAAGATTTACCACCTCAGAAACCCAATGTGGGTTGCTGTGAGTCAGAATCAACTCTATGGCAGTGAGTTTGTTTTTCTTTTTTTTTTGGGGGGGTGGCATATTATTTATATTTACGTGTGCCTTTGTTTCTTACCTGATTCCTCACTCCTCAGAATATGAGCATCATAAAGGAGGGGCACTGTCAGTTTTGCTCTGTGCTTTTCCTTGGTACCCATAGCAGGGCCTGGAACATAGTAGGCACTCATTATTTGTGGGATGTTGAAACTCATTGCCCAAGGAGCCTTCTCAGTAAGCAGCATTGAAATAGGAGTAATCTTTGAGGAATCAGTGATGATTTACCAAGTCATCAAGAGGGAACAGGCATCCCAGGCAAGGAATCAGCACGTGCAAAGGCGTGGAGGTATCAGTGATCACAGAGCAATTGGAAAGTACTAATGACTGCCTTTCTAAAACACATTGTCCACATCACTCATCTTTCACCAGCACTTAGTGAGCACTCACTGGGTACTAGTAACCTCACATATTGATTTATTTAACCAGTGATCACTGCCTTCTATGTGCCATGACTGATGCATCCTAGGTATACAATGGAGTGTAAGGCAGGCATATTCCTTACTAGCATCTTTCTAATCCTCTTTAGTTTATTCATTCGACGTATATTGAGCACTGACTGAGCCAGGCATGTTCTGGTTATAGCCCTAAATTCTGGCCCTGTGGCTCTTGTTCTACTTGAGCTGGCTTTGAGTGGTGGGGACGGGTTGGATTCCGGCCACTTTGTCATTTCAAAGTTCTGCTTTGAAATTCATTCAAGCAGCTTCTGCTTACCAGCCTTGGGGAGATTCTTCTGGCTAGAGCTAAAGGCAGCATATCTGGGGAACCTGGGGACAGGCAAGGCTCAGTGACTTGGGCAGCAGGCTGAGCCTTCATCTCGACCTTGGCAATTTGATGTGTCTTGAGGCTCTCTAGTATTTCAGCATGCTTTACACATCATGTGAGAAGAGACTTCAGGAGTGACAGCAGGTAATGGGATAGGGTTGTAAGACTGGAGGTAGCTCAGGGAAGTGGATATTCCAGAAGTTTAGAGTTCCTGTTTGGTGCAAGTTTTTTCTTCCTTCCCTATCTCCCCCTCCAGCACAGAATATGCCATCAACAAACTGCGGCAAGAAGGAAGCGAGGAGGGGATGTATGTGCTGAGGTGGAGCTGCACAGACTTTGACAACATCCTCATGACCGTCACCTGCTTTGAAAAGTCTGAGGTCAGTCAGGACACTGGCTTAGGGCAAGCCATATATGGTCATGGGTGTCCAGTGGGACCTGGTCCAGGAGCTCCTATAGAGAGGACCACCCTGGGGATGGGGTGGTAGAAAGCCTGGGTCTCTGAGAGGATTGCTGACAAGGGTTGGCAAGAGAAACCTACTTCCCAAAAGGAACCTACCTGCTCCCAAGCAGCTAGACCCTATCCTCTTTCCTCCACATGACCCTTTCATCCTCTGGGAAACCCATGGCAGAGATCCACTGTGGCTCTAGAAGATAGAATATAACCAAGAGACCAATTCACATCAAACACTTGGGGAGTAGTGAAGTTATTTAGAGTGGTCCAGTGCCAAGTTGATCACAGACCCAGACTCTGTTTGCAGCATTCTCTGGTACAAACAGTGCCAAGATTGTCTCATCAGCATGGCCTAGCACAGTTTTCCACACACGTGGCTTCAGACATTTTAATGGAAAAATTATTGTCCTGTGTTTTGACAGCAAGTGGAGATGTCTATTAGTAATTCAGATGAAGCTGGAATCCAGGAACAATGTGAGAGAAACCTAAAGGCCAAGATACGAGCCAGAAGTCTTGACATTCCCTCCCTAGACCACAAATGCCTTTGTTACTCATACCATTTTTTTAATATAAGAAATGAAATATTTTAAAAGACCATATATGGCTATAACATTTGATAACGTGGGTATTAACATATGATAAATTTTGCTGTAATAATCATTTCATAAAATTAGTCCATATAAATATATTAGTATTGATTGGATTCAACATGAACTGGGAGAGCTGGGGCAAGGGAAGGGCATGTGAGGTAGATATTAGTGCATTAGCGTACTGTGGCCCTCAGATAGAGGAAGGAAAAGTACTAGAGAACCCATGGGGCCTGGGTTCAGTCAAGAGTGAGAGGAAATGGCAGAATGAACCCAGTGCTACCAAGTGTCTCGGGCGATGTCTCCAGGGGCCATGACCTCCCTGGGGTTGTTCATGTACAGCTGGCACTCGTGGCTGATTACAGGGTGAGTGGTTCAGAACCTTTCATGCTTGTTGCCATGAGAAGATGCGTGACCTCTTTATTCATCAGTCATTGGAGGAAATTTAATCTTCTTCCACCATCACTGGGTGCATGAAATAACCCACCCAAGTCCTGTGCTGTACCAAAAATGTCAGTGAGTCAGTAACATGGCCTGCCTGGTGTCAATTATCTGGTAAAAACATTAGTAATAGATATGATTGCTTCTGGTGTGCACTGTCCAGTTAGTTGCAGTTCACAGTGACTCTGTCGTACAGAGTAGAGCTGCCCCTAGAATTTCCCAGACTAATCTTTTCAGGAGCAGAGCACCAGGTCTTTTCTCCCATGGAGCCACTGGCTAAGTGTGAACCCCTGCTCCCTAGGCTAGTATGAGTGCTTAATTATTGTACCAGGGTAGTATTACTACTGTTTATTTTAGCTTACTAGGCTCTGTGTTAAGCACTTTATCTACATGTACTAGTTTAAGCCTTACAACAGCCCAGTGAAATAGATACTAGTGTCCCCACTGCACAGATGAGGAAGCTGAGGCACCCAGATTTTAGATAACTTGCTCTAGTTTACACAGTAAGTAGGCCTTTCTGGCTCTCATTCTTAGCCCTTGAAATCGTTTCCTTTACACAAAAAGTGCTCATGAAAGAAAACTTCTGCTTACACTTCTCTTCTGTGGCACCTGGAACTGGATCAAAGCAGCTGAACACCACTTTCCACTGTGGTCCTCCTGAAATAAATGTGTTATCCAGAGAGGCTCAGTTTGAGGGATTTCCTAGATAAGTTTTGCTGTAGTAATTATTATTTCATGGATATTAACATTTGCTAATCTTCACAGAGTGCTTACTGAGGTTTCACATGTATTATATCATTCTAGCAGCAATCATATGAAGTTGGTACCTTCACGGTCTTCGTCTCACAGGTCAAAAAACAAGTGATGGTGTTGTGGGAACTGCTGTGTTATGCTGTCTCTCTGGCATTAACTCCCTCATATCAGTGCCTGTTCCTCAGCCCTCTTTTATTATTTATTTGTTAGTTGGTGAGATTATTTATAATTACTATAATTATTATTTTTTAATAATTTTAGATTTACAGAAAAGTTACAGAGATTGTAGAATTTTTCTCTGTCCTTCATTTCCATAATGTTACCGTCTTACATACCTATGGTATATCTTTTTAAACAAATCATTTCTGGTCCTTTTCTGAATAGCAGGTGCTGGGTGGCCAGAAACAGTTCAAGAACTTTCAGATCGAGGTACAGAAGGGCCACTACAGCCTGCACGGCTCAGACCGGAGCTTCCCCAGCCTGGGAGATCTCATGAACCATCTGAAAAAGCAGATCCTGCGCACAGACAACATCAGCTTCGTGCTGAAACGCTGCTGCCAGCCCAAACCTCGAGGTGTGTGTCCCCATGCCAGAGCCAGGCCATAGCCCCTCGGTGATACCCTTTGCCCCTTGCCTTGCTCCAAGGCCCAGCTTAACCAAAAGATACTGGCTAGTTAAAAGAACACACCCCCTTCCCACAGTTTCTAGGTGTGTTTTCATCAAATTTTGTTATGAGTCTATTCCCAGCTCAGTTTCCATCACTCAGGCATCAGTGTTTTCTACAGAAAAGACATACACCCTTTTCAGCATCTCAGTTAAACTGCAGGAAGAGGCATACTTAAAATTTGTAGGAGAAACTTCTTTTTTTCTTCCTTCCTTAAAATGCCTCGAGAGTTCCCGTTATGGTTAATTTATGTGAGAAATGGTCCAGACACATCTTTTGTGAGTCAAAAACGGTACTGTTGTTGTTGTTAAGTGCTGGTAAGACAGTTCCAACTCACAGAGACCCGGAGTACAACAGAATGAAACACTGCCCAGTCCTGCACCATCCTCACAATCCTTGCTATGCTTGAGTCCATAGTTGCAGCCACTGTGTCAATCCATCTCATTGAGGGTCTTCCACTTTTTCTCTGACCCTCCATTTTATCAAGCAGGATATCCTTCTTCAGGGACTGGTCCCTTCTGACAACATGACCAAAATAAGTGAGACAAAGTCTGGCCATTCACACTTCTAAGGAGCATTCCAGCTGCACTTCTTCCAGATTTATTTGTTCTTCTGGCAGTCCATGGTATTTTTAGTATTCTTTGCCAACACCACAATTCAAAGGCATCAGTTCTTCTTGGGTCATCCTTGTTCATTGCCCAGCTTTCCCATGCATATGAGGCATTTGAAAATACCATGGCTTGGGTTAGACATACCTTAGTCTTCAAAGTGATATCTTTGCTCTTCAACACTTTTTAAAGAGGTCTTTTGCAGCAGATTTGGCCAGTGCAATACAACATCCTATTTCTTAACCACTGCTTCCATGAGTGTTGATTGTGGATCCAAGTAAAATGAAATCCTTAACAATATCAACATTTTATTCATTGATCATGATGTTGGTTATTGGTTCAGTTGTAAGGATTTTCATTTTCTTTATGTTGAGGTGTAATCTGTACTGAAAGCTGTTGTCTTTGATTTTCATCAGTAAGCATTTCACGTCATCTTCACTTTCAACAAGGAAGGTTGTGTCATCTGCCTGTTGCAGGTTGTTAATGAGTCTTGCTCCAATCCTAATGGTGTATTCTTCTTCATATAGTCCAGTTTCTCAGACTATTTTGCTCAGCATACAGATTGAATAAATATGGTGAAAGGTTACAATGCTGATGCACAACCTCCTGAGTTTAAACCATGCAATATTTCCTTGTTCTGTTTGAGCGACAGCCTCTTAGTCTATGTGTAGGTTCCCCATGAGCACAATTAAGTGTTCTCAATTCCCATTCTTTGCAATGTTATCCATAATTTTTTTTT